TAATTAATGTTACTGTTTTTAATATGCTATGTATTTATGATTTTACATTGTTGTTATTGATATTGTGGCATCAAATCGCTGCCTGTGTTAGCCTCCCTGAGGCCCCCCCCCGGGGGGGGGGGTTGAGAAGGATGGGGTAGAAATGTTGTAAATAAATAAATAGCAGTATCAGTAAGGTTTGTTCTTACCAGTGCAGTAGTTCATGCTGTTAACCCCAGACTCTGCTACCATCCATCTCACATGAGGAAACACAGATAGATAGGATACTCCTGTTGATTGTTAAAGTTTGCTCTCAGCCAAGTCTCCCATCACCTCCCACAACATCTTAACTCAGCCTTCATGTCTCCTTGGCAGTCCCTGGCATCAGTTGCCACCAAAAAGGAAGGAATGGTAAGAGTGGGGAAGAGGGCTTGGAAGGAAAAGGAGATCCCACTAGGTCCTTCACACTTGACAATAATTGTACTCATAGGTACTCATAACAATGTCACCCAGTGCAGCCCTCAAAACACATAGACAGCTTCTTTGCTGACTAGAAGTATGGTCTACTCATTGTCAGTTCTGCAAATTTTTTATTCCAAAATAAAGCTGTTGTGAAGTGTTTGTAAAGAGCAACTAAATCACTCTACCAGCATTTATCAATCTCCTTATATGAATCTTGGAAAGCTTATGATCAGGTGCAAAATGGCAAATATTCTTTTCCTAGCAAGATCCTGAAAAAGATGCTTTTTCCTTCTGGAAAATTATCAGGCTTCATCAAGGGCAGCCTCTTGTCCTTAGTACAGGCTATGGGTCAGAACCAGCCAGCTAATTGAGACAAGTTGAACTCTTGTGCTAACTAGTTATACGTTCTCAACAGTTAGTTTCCCGCACCACTTTTTTTTCTTTTGGTAGCAAGGATAATTTTTCTTGGTAACCAGGCCATCTCTTTTCTGTCCATTGATTATGTGAAAAGATGCATGTCTTAAGAATAAAGTGCAAATAATACTAATTAAAACAAGGACCTATAGAAACAAAGATCTCTTTGCCCACTCTGCATGCAACTTATTTTAATTCTTGTTCAGTGTTAACTTTGAAAGCAACACCCCCCCCCCCCCAAAAAAAAAAGCAAAAACCAAATGCAGGGCACACGTTTTAACTTGCTAATATATGTAATTAAAATATTCAATAAAATATGCCTTCATCTATATACCATGTCATAACACTGACTTTAATTTAGGATCCAGAGAATACAGTAACAGAATAATAGCAAAATCTGTTCCAAACAAGCCTTAAAAGGTTTATATTTTTGTCACTTTTGGGATGTTGCATGGACACGTTTGGATACATCATGTTGTTTTTATTCAGTACGCTATTGTGATGTGGAGACTAATTATGAACTATAACAAATTTCACTACCCTTAACCAAAGCAGAGAACAGTATTGTTATGCTGGAAATGAGCCTGAGCTTGGCCCCATATGACTTAAGTGTCCCTAACAAGATTACATGTTGAAATTGTTGCAATTCAATCATTGTATCAATTTTCTAAAGCCCTTTGTGATGCCATTATAAGCTGTACTGTCTCAAGTGAATGAAGAAGATTCATTTTCATACAGAACTGTATCATATTGACCTAGTTGAAGATTCAATCGTTGTTTTACATAGATGTGCAATTCTCCCTGTTTTATGAGTATAAATTCTCAAGCTGTGAATCTCTTCTGCAATTTTTATTTATTTATTACAGTATTTAATTACTTTTTAAAGTTGTAGCACACAGTTCTATATTTATTACAGTTGTGCTCTATACAGTGGAAACCCAAGGTATCATATGTTTTCACTCCATAGTTGAGGTGTGAACAAAATGCAGTTTCCATTCCACTGGCAGATGGAGGTTGCACTAAATAAAAACAAAAAAATATATACAGTGTAATGTGAAATGATAGGAGAATCAGCGTGGTATAGTGGTTTGTGTTTTGGACTAGGACACTGGGAGACCAAAGTTCAAAATCCCTATTTAGTCGTGGAAAATCACTGGGTGATCTTAGGGAAATCATATTCTTTCAGACTCCATGTAGGGCAAGATAAAAACCACTCTGAACAAATTCTGCCAAGAAAACCCTGTGGTAGGTTCATCATACAGTCATCATAAGTCTGAAATGACTTGAAGGCACACATCCACAATGAAATATTATTAAAACGAATTTAGAATAATCCAGTAACAAAATGTGTAAGCAAAATGTATAATAAAAATCTTCACTTGAATGAGTTTTTAAACCCTAATTAAAAACATCAGTAGATCACACTAAGTATATATATTTTGGGAGGAAATTCCTCTGTGTCCACCATTGATAAAGTTCAATTTCTTATATTCTCCAACTGTCCTGACTTGTTACGAATCATTCCATTTCTCTAAATGCTTTAATAATGCCCAGTCCCTTTCTCATACTTTGTCTTTTTTCCATTGTCCTCAGCTTTCTCCCATTTCTACATGCTAAGTAATAGTGGAAAGGTAATTTGCACTCAATTGATTCAGCAGGGAAGGGGAAGAAAAAAAGTGGCAGTCTTACTGGAAGCTCAAGCAAAACTAAACTGCTGCATGTTTGTGAATTCTTAAACTTTATATATAAAACCTCAGCCTGTGTATGCTTGTGCTCGTAAAACTCGAAAAGTAGTTGGTCGATTGACTTGACATTTTGACACAATGTTGCATTCTAATATGTGCATGCTTTTATAGCAAAATGAAATATTGACACAATGTTCCATCAAAAAACACATGTGTTATTAGTGAAAAACCAGCTTTTCTAGTTAAACCTCAGCAGAATAAGAGAAAACAACCTATCACAGAGCAGCTTTCCTTTTATCCCAGCAGCAGAAGAAATATCAACCTATCACAGGGCAGCTATCATTTTACCTCAGCAGTATAAGAAATGAAAGCTGAGCTGTGATTGGTTGCTATTGACAACACAAATACTACAGGGGAAGTCAGTGTGTTTGGGATTTTTGGTTCCAATGGTTTCGCCGGCCATAGTACAAGTTTACAGAGTTCAGTCAAGAAGAAGAAGAGTAGCACAATCGTCTCAACAACGCCAAGAACAATTAGATCAACAGCGAAGACACATGCAGTTGCAATATTTGAATGGTCTAACTTCATATCCTTAGAATAAAAGAATCTTAGTCATAGAACGGCAGTCTTTAGTCTTACGTCATAGTACCGCATTCATTAATAATCTGTAATGCCTTGCCCACATTCGAACATAGGCAGCAGTTCTCGAAATGCAATCACAGAACGTGAAAGGAGATCGAACTGTACTGATCAAGAACGTTTAGACGAAAATGAATGTGCTAGAGTCAGAACTTCTCTAAGGCTAGCAGAGGAATCGGCAGATCGGGAAGAAAGAGTTGTAGCCTTGCAAGTTGAATCGAGAAGAAGAGCAGCACTATCACTTCAACAATGCCAAGAACAATGAGAACAACAGCAAAGATGTATGCAGTTGCAATATCTGAATAATTGAGCTACACGCCTCATGCTCCAGAGTTGGTACACCATCTGATCTTTATGTTTATGCAGAAAACAGGTAAACCAAAAATGTAGTCAATCCACTAGCTTTACAATAAAAATATTATTTTTGGTAAAAAACCTCTTTTTCTTTCTTTCCCTTTTATTCCAGATAGACACAGCAACGCAAGGCAGGGTATTGAAATGAATGATGTGTTTTCTATGCTCGCAACAATACGTTTATTTACTTTCACATTTCATATCAGACTGAGCCACAGCAAAGCATGGCCTGATTTAGCAAGTCATTAATAACTTTTGCCATCTTGACCACAGTATAGTGTTGCTTGGTCACACGTGTACAGTTATTATGTCATAAATATTGGAGGGTACAATTTAATGTCAACCCCTTATGTAGAGCTTCCAGTTTTGATCTCCATACAATTGTAAATCCCAAAAAAGGTGTAGATAGTTCTTTAAATAACGTGTATCCAAGCTTTTAAAAGACTTTTTAAAGATCCACAACCATCATCTTGAATCAAACTTGGAAATTCACTGGTGGCCAGTGCAACTGGCATAAAACTGGTGTATACTGAGCCAGTTGGCTATATGTCCCTGTGAACTGAGGACACTGTGTGTTCATCAGTTTATGTAGTCACACAGTGTGGCAGCAACAAATGACTGCCCCATAAAAAAAGTGAATGGACTCAGCATTTCAGTGGATGGCATTCTGCTTTGATATGTGCATTGTTTTCATTTAAAAGTGCTTGTACACCACAGATGTGCAGCATTCAGTAGGATCTGACAAGCTAATAGAGCTCTTGTTCTTTTGTCATGCTCTTCTGTTTTCCAGAGTGATGGTTGGATTGGTCTATTGCTGTAGCAAAAGTGATGAGTTCTGTGGCATGATACAGACTAACAATTTTAATATTGTGTAATCTTTGATTAACTATAGCTCCTGTTCAGATATTTCATGTTGTTTTCTGTTCTATATTGGCATATCAGGAAACTTGTTGAATGATAAAGCATTGTGATGCTGGTTTAATTTAATAGAAGTAATGGTTATTTGTCAGAAATACATTTTACCTGATACAAATCAATACAACTTACTGTTTTTTGGTACAAGGAGATTCCTTTCACGTTTTGATTTTCAGTTAGACAAGTAACAGAGCTGAGATTTGGGCTTTCTGTAAGTTACATTGTTTTCTGTGATCCTGGTTTGTTTGTGTCTTGATAGCGTCTTTTGCTATTTCCTTTTAGCCGAGATCTAAGCATTTTGAATAAATGAATATTTTATAGTTTTTGTCATAAGCAACAGAAGGAAATGTTTCTTCAGAGTAAACATAGTCGCATCATGAAATTTCCTACTTCTGTACAAGAGAAAGTAACAGACAGTGATCCTGCTTCTTATTTTTTTAATCCATGGGCCATTAAAGTAGACAGGGAACTGGGCTGTATATTCCAGATAATTATGTGCCATGTACAATGCCTGCTAGTAAGGTACTAATGACTATCTCTTTCTCCTTTAAGGCGTCTTGGTGCTGAACTTGGAAAATCTGTGGTATATCAAGAAACTAATGGAGGTAAGGCAGGCTCTTTTACTTGAAATTTCTTTTAATTTGACAATACCTATAGACGATATTTGTAGAAAACAGTGTGGATAGTGGTTTGAGCATTGGACTACGACTTAGGAGACCATGGTTTGAATCCCCGCTCAACCATGGAAACCTAATGTATGACTGTGGGCAAATTATACTCTCTCGGCCTCATAGGATGGCAAAGGCAAATCCCCTCTGAACACATCGTCAGGAAAATCCCATGATAAGGTCACCATAAGTCAGAAACATCTTGAAGGCATGCAAATGATCTTAAGAGAGGTTTACAATAAAAGAAGACAATTATAATATTTGATGCTGTAATCATTGAAAGTTAAAATGGGTTTCTCAAAAACAAGTTGTGTCATAGCAGTATTATCTTTACTTACTTTTATTGCAAACTAATTCACAACAAAAATAGCATTCATAAAAAAACCAAATTAAAACCATGACACATTACTAACGCTCTAAGCAGTTATAGTAAGCACAATCTAACTACTTACTAAGACATAAAGTACTCTGACTTCCTCCCTGCACTAACTACAATAGAAAAGTAAACCTATTACAGATCTAGCTGCTGTGGTTTTAAAGTTTGAATATGTTTTTGATGGGTTTTAACTGTGAATGTTTAGTGTTGTTTGTGTTTAATTCTGTTTTAATGTTTTTATATTTGTATATTTTAAATTGTATACTAATGCTTTTATGTCAAGCCGCTTTGGGGAGATCAAGCGGGCCATAAATATTATAATAATAACTAAATTCAACTTACTAGAGTTACTAATAACCATAACTACAGGTTATTGCATTATTGGATTTCTTTTTGCTCAAAAAGTCTATAAATGCTTTGCAGACTTTCAAAAAAATCCTCCCTTTGAAAGCACATCAATTTGGGATACTGTGCCAGGTCTATGGCCTTAACAATCCATTTTTCCAGGTTTCCATGAGATGGGTTATAGAATACACTTTCAATATTTCTTTTTCTTCATATTCAGCCAGCCACTATCAGTGTGTTATCCAGTTCTTTTTATTATGCAGGCGTGTCCAGAGCAATTAGTCATGTTTGTAGGTTTTCTGCAACAGATTAATGCAAGAATATTGAAGACTAGCTGGTTGTATTTGGTATAAAGTTTCATAGACCAAAGCAGCTAAAGAAAGTGGCTGTTCAAAAAATGAATGTCAAATAAAATTTGATATCCTTGTAGGTGCTACAAGACACTTGTTTGTTTTCTTTCTTGCCTCTTCTTTCTCTCCAACTTTGCATGCTACCTCCATATCCTGTGACCATTTCTTACATAATGTTTGTGTGAACTGAATGTGTGGCAAGTTGCTCTTGCTTTTGACCTAATTAAATAATTGTAGAACATTGTTGGGTAGGGTGGCCAAGCAGTGAGGTTCTGGTTGCGTTAGAAGAAGGCTGCATGGGAGCTGATGATGATTATGATGATTGCAATATGCCAGGGACCAGCACTATATTTGTGACCACTGGGTACAGCTATACTTTTAAAAAAAGCTTTCCAGGGACTGGCAGCTAGTGGCTCAGGGTTTGGGAGTGGTCCAGGGACCACCACTTTTGAGTAGCACTGAGTTAGACTAATGTTCCTTCCCAAAAGGTGGGTTTCAGAGTCAGTGTTGTCCCCTACCCCACACTTTGAGAAATGTTACATTAGAACATAGAAGCTCATGGTATGTAAATATACTATACGAATTCCATTTAAATTTCCATGCCTCCTCTACAGAAACAAGAGTTGAAATAAAAGAATCAGTCCGAGGCCAAGATGTTTTCATCATTCAGACAATTCCCAGGTAGGTTTGAATTACATAGGATAAAAACCCAGATTCTTGGATACATGGAATTTCCTGTTCGGTGGATTTGATGTAAGCATTTAAGCATTTACAAGTGTAAGTCCTCTTCTGTTTCTCATTCTAATTTTGCCTTCATTACAGGAAGAACATGTGATGTTAATAATGCCTGTTAATCTCTTGCATCAACAGTGGGGCTTTAAATCACACAGTTTAATGAGGCACTAAAAGGGACAGTAAATGAAATGAGATTAGATTCTGTAGTCTATAGAGCTGTCATAAAGACAACCATACGTATTTACTCCATTTTCTTTTAATTTTGTTTTTAGGATTTTCCTCTTTCAACCAGGCCATTCTTTTTAGAAGAACTAATAATTCCATCTATTGGTAGTGAAATATTTACTTTGTTTTTCTTAGAGGTATATTTTACAACATAGCTGCTGGTGAATTTCCATCCTGAGTCTGAGCTATTGCTCAAAGGAACAGCATTTTGATTTTTCTATTCCTTGCATGGAATAACATCAGCAGACTTATTTTTGTAGTTTTCTTTCTCTGTTGTTTGTAGAGGCTATCAATGGAATAGAATAAAATAGAATAACTTTATTATCATTGTACCTTGTATAACAAAATTAAATGCTTTCCCCAGCACACATAAAAAAACAACACACCCATCCCTCCACACTAAGTGGGACAACATGGGTCTATAGGTCTGAATTTACTCACTTTTAACTAAATGGTGAGGATATGTGAAGAGCCTTGCCTTCCTAATAGGCCCATAAAAATACGAGGATTTCAATCTAAAATGCTTGTGACATAGAAACCTCCTTAAAGAAAAAAAGCATGAACCGACGTTCTTCTAGTTTATGCAAACTTGTCTTCCTAGTTGCCATGCCTAGTTGATACAGGTCAACAGGAACTAACTGTCTACAGGGTTGGAATGAATGCTAGATGAGCTAGCATTGCAGCACATAGGAAAAATAAGTGAAACAATTTAGACAAAATTCCTTAACATGTACCCACGGTATAAGAAAAGCAAAACATTGCTTTGTGTTTCTTTTCACTCTCATTATCCCCATTCTGTTATTTTATTATCTGGATCCTTCTACAGACTTTAATACTGTACACAGATTTTATATTTTGGTAACATATGAAGTCATTATTCATATTTGGTTGTGTTGAATGTTAGTTTTCAGCACAAAACAAAAGTAGGCAACTTACAAAATAAGTGTCCTGGCAAATAATATCCATCATTCTTTAGCCTCTACCACCTTTCAACCACAGGGGAAAATGGTGCATTGTTCACTTTTGGTCTTAATTACTCAGTGGTGGGGGTAGTTTTATGTAATTCTTGGCTGTTTCCTTGATGGTGAACAAAGCCTTCTTGTGTATAAACTATCACATCAGTGCAGTATGAGGGAAGTAGAAGACAGAACAATCCAGAGAGCTTTGGCCAATGTATCCAGATAAATGGAGCTCATTTTTCAAGGGGAGGTTTACAAAGGGGAGGGGGGATGAGAAGTTGAACAGAGATAGAAAGGTGTCATCTTAGGTGATCAGGAAAGTTTCTGGTTTTTATCTTGTGGAAGGCCAGGCAGATGAAAGAAGTGTTGCTGCTTGTCTAAGAACAGTGTATAAGAGTGTTTCCCTGACTTCCTTCCAGGCATAGGTGCTCTCTCTCTCTCTCTCTCACACACACACTAAACCCCCAGCAAATGTTTAGATTTGCTCACTTTGCAATGACATAGATGGATTGACCACTCTAAAACAAGCTTCCAATGATCCCTCGCATTTGTCCTTGAAGTCTGATAACTAAATTTATATCTATAGAACTTTAACATTGGAAAATGCTAGCTGTTGTGCCTCTTACTGTATTATGACCTTTGGCATAATTGGCCATGTTAGAGATATATATATGTGACTTCTAGTAAATTCCAAAACATATCCTTAATGTCTTTTGTCCAGTCATCTTTATCAGAGTAGAACTAGCAACAGTTTTCAATGAAGGAACTTGATGCAGTCAGCGGAGTTTTGGTTTCAGAGCCCCTTTTCTTTATATTGAAATGTTGAGGAAAAGTCATACCTGGCAAAGTCATACCTGCAAAGGCAAGAGCAAAGCTTGGAAAAAACATGTTAATGCCATGTTGTTGTGATAAAGGCAAATGTTATTATTAAGCATTTTGAGACATGATGTAAATACTAGTTTTCTGTTATAATAGGTAATATTTTTCTTCAAAATATTACTTTTGAAGTTATCGTGAGGAATTATTGTCCACATAGAAATTCATCAAATTAAAAAGTAATAGTATGAATAAGGCTACTTATGTTGCGGCATCATATTACTCTTGAAAAAATTCCAACTTTTAAAAATAAATACAATTAACACAGGAACCTTTTCAGTATGGCTTCCAAGCTTTGGGCAAGAACATTCCTTCTCTTAAAAGTAATTAAATAGTTCATGGGATGGTGTGTGGAGCCCATGGATAATAAAATTAACCTCATATTGTCTTAAAGGCAGGAAGAAAATTTATTCTGTATAAATTTCTGTGTAGTGGGGTGGTGGAGCCTTTTTCCATGTCAGAAATTCTTTCTCCAAACAGGATTTTTAATTTGAATGATGCAGTTTTTAAAAAGATGTAATACAATTTAGTACTTTTCAGACTTTATTTATGGGGCATATCTCCCAAATCAATCTAACTGTCTTATAACCTGAATTCATTGCAGAGATTGTGATATTCGTTCTTGTGTGTACTGTTGTTGAGTGTGGAACAGTTGCTGGGATATTTGAGCCCTGCGCAAAGTAAACATACACTCTTCTGGTTGAGGACTATAGAGACTTGGTAATAGTCTTTCTGGGCAGCTTCTTTGCTTTGGCTTCTCTTTAGATTATGGAATCTCTGACATGTATATGCAGAAGCCCCGGGGTCCTTCTGGAGAATGGTGAAATTAGTTAAATTACAGAAACTTGGAGCAGGGGATTTTCTTTAATACCTGCTTATGGTATTTGGGCTGACATTGTTTTTGCCTAGAAGGAACCTGTTGCTGTCAAGAAGCTTTCCTGGCAGACGGATTGCTGATTTTATATTTTCTACTATTTCAGAGATGTGAACACTGCAGTGATGGAACTGTTGATTATGGCGTATGCGCTGAAGACATCCTGTGCCAGAAATATCATTGGGGTAATTCCTTACTTCCCCTACAGCAAGCAAAGCAAAATGAGGAAGAGAGGCTCAATTGTATGCAAACTCCTTGCTTCCATGTTGGCCAAAGCAGGTGAGTGGACTGTCAAATGTGCCAATATTTTCCCTCCCACCATTGTGCTAGGTGATAATTAATCTGACCTCAGTGAAGCAAGTGGAACTCTTTCTCTTCCCACTCTAAGAAGACATTACTTTTTATTCAGAATAACTTTACAATGTGATCCTGAGCAAATTGGCATATTTCTCTCTAACTACCTTGATATTGTAAAGAGAGAGCAAAGAGTGAAAACTATGTGTTCTAATCTTGGAATTCTTGAAGGAAATGTTAAGTTAAAAACGAAATCACTAAAAAAGAAGGGTTTGCTCACTTTATATCTTCGGATACTTAACTAAGTTTGTATTCAAAAGTGAGAAATCTGTTCCAGCTTACTGAACTTCAATACAAGACTATCTAGAAAACAAGCAGCAAAACACTCTTCTTCAGACTTATATGAAAACATCAGAGCAATGTACTTGGGTTCTATGCTTACTCTGTGTTTTAAATGATAGTGAATGAAGTGTTCTGATTGCCCCAACCTCGGAGATTAGGTACACACAGGTAGTTGATGCTGACCACCATGTGAAAGTAAGTTCTTTAGTGTTAAGCAGTGCAGTGAGGTGTTTAATATCTCATGTCTAATTTGGGTTCTGCCAGGAGTTTTAATTTATGTTCTTTTTAGGTTTAAGCCACATCATCACTATGGATCTTCATCAGAAAGAAATTCAGGGCTTTTTTAGTTTTCCTGTTGACAACTTGAGGGCATCACCTTTCTTGCTACAGTATATACAAGAAGAGGTAAAGTAACCACTATCCATTACTAGCCATACTCTCGGATTAAAAAACAGTTTGGGGTTCCTTATTTTCAGACTTGCTTAAAGAAACACATGGAGGCCCCTTCTACAGTGCCATATAATCCAGATTATCACAATGGATAATCCATATTATCTGCTTTGAACTGGATTATATGAGTCTATACTGCCATACAACCCAGTTCAAACCAGATAATCTGGATTTTATATGACAGTATAGAACGGGCTGCTACTCAGAGGGAATGTATGATGGTACATGGAGACCCTGGTTTTCTCTCAGGGCAAAATTGCCCTTGTGGATCATGAATCAGTCTGGAGGTTCCTAAGCATCAGAGAGGAATAACTCTCAAATCAGTTGCTCTGTTTTTTAAACTTGTAGTAGCAGTTTCAGAGGTGAAAGGGTGAGGAAGATTAGCAATATGGTTCTCAGGACAGGGGGCATGGAGGGTGGAGGGAGAGGAGATTCAGTTCCTGTTTGTCCCAACATGGAGATCCTTATCCAAGTTAGCATCTACTAGTCCATGTCTGCCTAATGGATACCACTCATAAGTTCATGTTTTAGTTTGGCCCTGAACTAGAAGACGTAGACGAAGTCTAGACAGATACATTGATGATGTATAGACTTGTCCTGCAGCAGCGAATTTAACAACAGTGCATATATATTTAAAAGGAATGTGTTGTTGAAGGCTTTCATGGCCAGAATCACTGGGTTGCTGTGAGTTTTCCGGGCTGCATGACCATGCTCCAGAAGCAGTTTACGTGACTCGCAGTCTTTGGGGAATGTGTTAGTATTTTCTGCAGTGTTCAGTAGTAACAAAATAATATAATATGTGTAGGATACTGTTCACACACGCATACACATGCAAGACTGTAATACATTAATCAAAGCTAGAACTATAGTGCCTTAAATAATCTTTTTTCTTTTCTTCAGATTCCCGATTACAGAAATGCAGTAATTGTGGCCAAGAGTCCTGATGCTGCTAAAAGGTAAAGTGCTTTCCTTTTAAAAAAAATATATGAATATATGTTTTAAGGAAAAGATACATTTTTAGGAGAGGATGATTCATGAAGTGTTTGCAACATTAATCACTTTGGTTTGGGTTTACTTTGGTTTTCTTCACCTTGTCGGTTTATTTTGTTTTATCTAATGCCAACAGATAATTTGAAGAAAGAGGGGAGGTGGAGGTGGGACTGATTTTGTTAGGTATGTGAATATATTTTCCTCATATAGTAGGCTGAGTATCTCTTATCTGAAATGCTTTGGACATTATTCCTGTGTGTGCTGTTCCTCTACAGTAAATAGCATCTTGCTGTCCTATTAAGGTAGCAAGAATCAAATGCGCTTTGGGGTTCTTTTTCTGAAAAAAAGTGAAAAGGCAATAACAAAAAAGTGGTAAGATTTATCCACCAATTCCTGTTGTTGAAAAGCAAACACATAAGTCTGAAAGTTCCTTTCATTGGTTGGATTTTGTTTAAATCAAGCACTGGAAATAGGCAGAGCAGAGAACTTTTCCAAATGGAAGGGCTTTCATACCACTAACAGGCTGTTATGTTTGTGTAGGGCCCAGTCTTACGCTGAGCGGCTGCGGCTGGGACTGGCAGTCATCCACGGGGAGGCGCAATGCACGGAGCAAGACATGGATGATGGGCGACACTCACCTCCAACAGTAAAAAACACAACATTGCACACTGGTCTGGAGCTGCCCTGTACGTTGCGTGTCTTTTACTGTCTTTATTTTTGTTTAGTTTGTTAGGTAAGATGCTCCTCTGTGAGAGTTCTCCTAAATTCTCTGCTAAAGCAGGAAACTTTATCAGATTGTGTACTAGCAGTCTTAAGGCAGATTACTTCCCAGACAAGCTCAGCATTTTAAAATTGGGCATGACATACACAGTGAGGTTATCTGATACCTTTGCTAGCAAATAGCTGAGCAATTAAGTACCCTAAGACATAATTCCAGTTGAAAAGGAAAGAGATATACCATTTCACATGGCTCCCTCATATATAAAAATAATAGTTTTATTCATTTAGAAAAGCAGAAATGGTAAGAAAAAGACACTAGTTAAGCTCTTTGCTTGTTTTTGTAATCAATAAGGGTGTTATAAACCACATTTCAAGAATACAGTAGTGAGCAAGAGTGAATTTACTTTATTGGTGCAAACCTTTCGAACCAATTTTCAAGCGATTTTTAGAGATACAGATTTCTCTTTTGACTGGAGACGACAGAGCAAAAGCTTACGGTGTATATTGTGCTATCTCAGTTTTAGTTTTCTGCTATCTGAGCGCAATCTGTCAATCACCTGTGAAGATATTTATTGTACTACATTTTTAATAAATAATTTTATTTGTATCTTTGTGTACTATCTTGAAATCCAATTGGAGGAGAGGCAGTGTAATATTTCTAAAAATAAGGTGCAGGATTCTTGGGTCCAGTCTTCTCTTCACTTATTAGATGCACAGGTGGAAGAGGTGGTTTGAGCCAGAGCTTGGGATGTTACCTTAAAAGTAATTTATATTCTAGCCAATGTCATAGCACCCAAAACTAATGCTTTACTGTTAACGTCAAACAACATGCTTTGTTCAATCACTTTGTTGTTACTGTTATGTTTATTTTTTTAAAAAACACTTTAGATTTGATAAGACAATAGCATAAATGAAACATTCTAATCAAAGGTATTTCAAAATGCCCTTTTAATAATAATTTAAAAGTAACTAGGAACTATTACTCACCTTTCTTGGTTTTGAAAAATTGAAGCCTCAACTTGTTTGGAAATGTAGCTTCCATATGTGTTTATTATATAACTCCAGTGGTGCTTAAATTGTCTGATTTGGAAGACCTGGTGACTTTCTACGGACCAGAAGCTCATGGTTCATGGACTGCTTTTCCCACTGTAGTAATGACATCCCTGATATCATGAAAAAAGATTACTGGTCTATCACATTTCCCTGACTCTTCAAGAACCAGCAATTTGTCTCATGAACTAACTTAGCAAGAGAGTTCATGAGAGTTCATCACTGGTAATATCTCATATTTTTGAATAACTAGTATGGGTGGGCTATACCCAGTTGGAATTGTAACTTTATAAAATACTTTAAATACTATATTGAAAGTTGTAAATATTGTAAAATTCCATAAAGACATTACATTATCTCTCTATAATTATTATAATCATCTTACATCTTTAACAATGCCTTTGTTATGTTTGTGGAAATAGCTGTGTTATAAATTTACTCCATGCAGATAAAATCTGCATTCCTAATTTTTTAAACCTAAATTGTCTTCATAAAATTCTTTATTTATTTACCCTATTTATACCCTGCCTTTTTCTACCCAGATGGGGACTCAAGGCAGCTTACATAAAGGCAATTATTCAGTGTCTTAAAAAACATACTAGTCCAGTAACATTAAAAGAAAAATTAATACATATTAAGCATTTAAAATGTTTAAAAATATTGCATTCAATATAAATCACACCATCCATAATCATAGTCCAAAGATGTTCCATAGTCATTGTACATATTCCAAATCAGTTATTGCGCTACAGTATTCTCCAAAAGCTGGATCCCAAAACCAGGTTTTTACTTTGCCTTTAGGGCGAAGTGTTTAGGAATTTCTTTTTACAAGGTATCTTGTTACTATTTTGAAATAAGCTGGAAAGGAAAGAAACTAGCCAGATTGACTCTAGAATTTAATTCTACCTCCTCTTAGAGAAATGTAATTTTTTTCCTTTAAGGTTAGGTGAACAAAGGCTTGTTTCTTTTTTCTTTAGAAATAATTGTTCAAGTAAAAGAAAGAAACTTTCTAAACCGGGTAGGTCTGTGCCCTTGACTAATGTGTCCTTCGTTGTTGTTTTTTAAGTGCACACTTTAATAAGTCAGAAGTAATTAATAGTAGCAGTAGTAGTATTATAATCTCCATTACAGAATGGCTTTGAGATGAAATTTAATTGTAACTGTTATGCCTGTTTATAGCAATAGGAGATTGTTTGTTGAAGCAAGATATACAAGTCAAATAGAGTGGAATTTCTACTTAACTGACGTCACTGTTCTTTGAAGAAGTTTATTTTCTCTTTTACATTTTATTAGGTGTCTTGTATTTTAATGCTGGAAGCCACAAATCTTCCTTTAGGACAGATTTCGGTAAAGTGTGGGCCTAAGACCCAATGTTGTCCCATGACTACTTTTTCAAGTCTTTTAACATCCTTTTTCTGGCAAAAAAAAATGAATTGCTTTTTCTGGAAACCTAGTGAATTTATTGTAGGGCTCCCTGCACTATTTTGCATTTGAAAAATGTCTACTTTTCATAACCACACATGCATTTTCCACCACTTCCTGGGAGGATAGCATTTGAGGAACTACTTGTGGCTTTAGAGGGCTCCAGGGCAAAAAAATGGCCTTTACATCTTTCAGAGTTGTCTGTCCTGGTTGAGGCATTCTCCCGCATAAGAGTAAATCCAATTGCAAGACCCAACTAAATCTGTGGCTGACTACTATGTTAAGGCTTACATTAAATCCCACCAATTCAGTTGATCTATTCTAGTTGAGATTAGCAATTGAATTTGGAATTCAATTCCTCCAGAAAGAGGGTTTTGCTATTACCTAGACAAAATTAATGTTAAACCAACAATGGTAGGTAATTGTGGCGTTGTTATACAACCTCTGATGCCATTTTAGCTTAGGCTGTGAGTTAAGCATTTAGTGGGAAGGAAAACTCATGGAACATGATGGAAATTACTACAAAGTAATACATATAGAGTTATAGACTCCTGTCTTCATCTTCAACATAAAAAGAAGCTTCTTTCACACTCACTGCCTCAGTTCATTGGCAAGATGGGAGTAGAGAATTCACATCAAGGACCTGTTGAGTATTTAGGGTATCCACATAAATGCTTGACCTGCAGTGTTGAGGAAAGTCAGTTTGAGGGCATCACAAAATCAGATCCTTTACTAAATGGCTGGATTCTTCTTCACATTTGATAGTTACGGTGTATTGTTTGTGCCAGTTTTTATATATAACTCCTATCAATGAACTTTCCTCAGGTCTTGCTGCAGATTTAGAGAAAAGGTTCGATAACAAGAGCATCTGACCTTGCTGTGTTTTAAACTTTGTAATGATATTTACAAAGATTGTAATTGTGATGATATTTACTGATATGGTGCCATTTGCAGAGAATCTGAAGTATATCTGGATGATTCCAACTCTCTCCACATAAATATTCAATTAGATAGGTCTCATAGAAAACAAATGCTTCTCAAAATGTTGGTAGTTTCATACCATTAATTCATAAATTGTTGTAATGAACAGAGGATTATAATTGTTCCTTGCTGAAAGATTATTTAGTTGTATTCTTTGCACCATTTTTTAGGGAACTCAAAATGAATTAGTGCCGTTATGCTGAATATGAAGAGTGCACTGAGCATGAATTTGTAAAGCATGAAAAGTGAATATATATGGCATTCAATAAACTCTGGTGCTAAGATTTTGTTGGTTTTTTCCCCCATTAGTGATGATGGCCAAAGAGAAACCACCAATAACAGTAGTTGGAGATGTTGGAGGTAGAATTGCCATCATTGTGGTAAGGAACAATAAAGCCAGAAGAGTGAATGGTTTTTGGTTTGGTTGTTTTTTCTGAGTTTCATCTCTTTGAATTATTTATACCTGCATGTAGATAGGATTTCAGTTCTGGGCTACAAGCTATCAGTTGATTGTTTCTACTGGAACATTAAACGGTTACCCTGGATCTCCATGTTTCACTTTTTTCATACTTAATTGAATAAGGACATTGCATTCCAGTATCTATTATATTACCCTGATGTAGATTTCTGAAATCTCATTTGATTAAATGTGTAAAAAGAGCCAAATCCTAATAAATGATAACATCGTTCTTGTTCCCCATTTTATGTTAGAATGATATATTGGTCCTATAGACAAGAGACTCAGAGTATTGTAACCCTCCCATTTTAAGAACTGATTCTTCCACCATATAGGAATTAGACTTCTTAGCCATGCCAAACTGACATTGTATTTGTTCATGCTGCCTTTTGTGTCAGTGAATTCCCTATGATCCCCTTGTGGGAGGCAAGTGACAGATTTTGAACTGCTCTTCCAGCAAAGACCAATTACGTAGTTCTAGCATTTCACAACCTCCCATTGAAATGGCAAAGGTACTGAAGTCTGTGCAGGTTCCCCACTGTTCCCCATGACTGATATTAAGGTGCTCTGTTTACCTGCTTGGCTTACCACAGCATGAAAATGTCCTAAGGGGAAATATGTCAACCTTTTCACAAGACATATTGTGAGATACTAAGTGTGTTTTCCAGACAGTTGCTGCCAGTTAGTACCTATCTTTGGAAGAAAGATATCTGACACCAGCGGAGCATTTAAAGTAACTTTTGTTTGTTCAGAGATGTTTTCAGTCACTGGACAGTCTGTTACAACAAAGTATCTTTCTTGTTTGTTTTCTTCAGACACATTTGTGAAAAATATTGGTTCCAAGGATATATATTAATTCAGTGTAACAATTTTCGAGTTTGTAATTTCACAACATTCTGATACAACATAGCTGCTGCTAAATTACTTATTGGCAGCATACTAAAAATTTTCATCTGTAACATTAAATGCACACTAAGGCATCTTCTAATGATTCAGAATTTACAAACATAGCCTGTGAGAGTATTAGTAACTTCTAGTTTTTAATTGGGATTTTCTTTGCTTTTCAGGATGACATAATTGATGACGTGGAAAGCTTTGTGGCAGCTGCAGAAATCCTGAAAGAGCGTGGTGCTTATAAGATCTTCATCATGGCCACTCACGGGCTCTTATCTGCAGATGCCCCACGTTTGATTGAAGAGTCGTCCATTGATGAGGCAGGTCCCTATAGTTGCAGATATTAGTCTTTCACCCTCCTGCCAGTAGATAATGATGTGTTCTTTTTTGTTCTAAAATATCATATTATGGATGCAGCCCTGTCAGTTGCACACATATATTATGTGTGGATACAGGACTGTTGCAGGTATTCAGTATGGAAACAACAAGCCAGTCTGGTTTCTGTTTGCACCTGCCTCTTTCTGTCCTTCTCATTGTAGGCGCTTGCAGCAAGAGAGAAGGTTCCTTTATCATAAGCAATTTTTTGTTGGACACATTTCATCCATGTGTCACTCCAGAAGAATAATTGTGAAGTTGAAACAAAGTATTCCAAAAAGAGTATCGCCTGGGGTTTCCTTTTCTGAAGAAAATCCGTTATGCAGCTATGTTATGTCTGCTCACATCTCTTCACACTATGCATGGTTAATTTTTCAAAATGCCATAGTTCAGCACTTCATATTCCCAGACTATGAATTGAATCCAGGTATCATCATGATAAGAGCAGCTCCCTTGAAATCAGTGGGACTTATGTTAGTCATAACTCATTTGACCCATCAGTGGGACTGCCCAAAGCAGATTGGTCATGATCCAAACCCATAGGAATGCTGTGCTGCTATGTTATGATATGCTATCCCAGTGACATGTTTTGATATCTTCGTTCTTCTGACCATAATGTTTTTCTCCACTGAGAGGAATGTGGTGCTGTCATGTTTCCTGATCTCCTTTTTTGGTGTGAATACTGGCAAGCAGAGGAGCAATGTATTGGAAGCTTACTGCTGAATTGTTGCTGTGCCCCAGAGAAAAACAAAGAATGGCGGTTCCATTTTATCTTTTGCCTTCAAAATTTAAAAATTAAGCTGAAAGCTGCAAATTAACCTTTAAACAATCTACAGTGCTGCATGTTGTCTTATCGGGTCAAATTACATAAGAATTTTCTTAGTCATTTTAGTCCTCTTTTAAGTAAAATGGCTCTTATGCAACTCCATTGATCTTGAATTCTGGAGAACATGTATGAGACTCCCCTGGCTGCTCTTTAAATATATTACATTAAATTTATTTTTATCCCTCATTTGTCCCAATATAGGTGTTCTTTCTAGTTAAATTGTTACTTTTTTGCCACATGAATGGATATTGGATGTTAGTGTTGTTTCCCCTAGCCCAGTGCTAGTGAATTTTCCCATTGACAACAAAGTCTTTGCTGACTTGAGAGAAGCGGGTTGTCTGAATCTGTTGCTAGATGAAAAATGTTTTGATGAAGGAGCAACTCATCATCTTGTCTTGCTGATGGTGTTGAAGCATTTGACCTTTTGTTTAAGGTTGGAGCTGTGGTCCACCACCTACAAGTTGCTTACCCTTGATATGAAAAATGGGTGAAATTCACCGTTCTTACTGTATGTTTTTGTACATTTCACACTATTATTTATGCAGTATTCACCTTTTTATTCTCTGAATGTGCTTCTTAAAGTTCTTGCTCTTGACTGAAAAGTAGCTTTGGACATATACATTCCTTAGCTTGCAGTGCAAAGGAATTTTCACAAGCCATTATTAACTACGTAAATCTTCTTTCAGCACCTTTTTCTACAAGGTTTTTCACTATTAATCTTATAGTTGTGAAATAATTATCACAATCCTAGGAGGACGTCAAATACTAATGCCTTAAGCAATCTGAAAATCGAACTTTTTGTGTTATGAAACCTAGGAGTCACACTGAATTTGGTGTCCTTTGGAATATTTAAAACCCAATTCTATCCCTTGTGAATTTTCTCCAAATAGATGATTTACCCAGATTTTATAACTGGTTTTCTTTTCCTCTCATTGCTAGGTGGTGGTAACCAATACAGTTCCCCATGAAGTCCAGAAACTGCAGTGTCCTAAGATAAAGACTGTGGATATCAGTTTGATTCTCTCCGAAGCTATCCGTCGAATCCACAATGGAGAGTCCATGGCTTACCTCTTCCGCAATATTACCATGGATGATTAGTTTATTTTTTGTCATTCTACCATCTAGTTTCCTCAAATCGAAAAGAAAAAAAGGAAATGTGCATGAAGAAGCAGTGCCATAGCATATTATTATTTGGGATGGGGGGCAGTTTTATTATGGATCTGGGTGTTTAGGGAATGATACCATGAAATCTGAGTATCCAAATTTCTCTGATCCAGCTACCAGGGGGGTTGTTGGGTCAAAATGCAAATAGATATTAGAATGTGTTTTAAATTTGTCCGAATGATGAAAACGGTGGCCTTTTGATCTTGTTAAACAAGCCAGTGTGTTTCAACAGAGTAACTTTGGTGGGGATGAACTGAGAGGCATACTGGGATTTTGAAGCTGAAATAAATAGTTCTGGTATGTAGGTTCTCATGCTGTTTTGGAAGAAAGCGTGTCCTTTTCCTACGTTGCTGGCATGTGCAATGCCCTTCTGTAATCTTGGGAGACATTTGCAATCTCATAGGTGTTGAAAGCTTTCTTCTATGATTTCATCTCCATTTAGAGTAATTTGATGGCAGCCTTGTTAATTTTGACAGGAATGGTGTGTGAAATGGTTCCAGAGTTGTAGCAGAAACTAGAATAAAGCTACCTTTCCATTTATAGACCCATAAATTCCAATCCTGCCTATTATAGAACTTTTCAGACTCTTACTACACTTTGTGAGGAAAGATTAAGTAAAGCTAGTCTGTTGAGATTTGCCTCTGCTGGCACTTTCTGTTCACCCATGGCCCAAAATCAAGGTATGCAGTCCTGAAAGTGTGAACAAATTCATGGAGTACTTTCCTGTGTCTTCCACGTCTGTACTCCCTGTTGCAGAATAGTTAAATTAGCAAAATGGTCCTTTGTGGATCTTTGTGTCAGCAACACATTACTATCTCTTCTATCAGTTACAATTAAAGTGGAGCTTTCACTTGCTTGCCAGCCATTGTAGTATCTCTTAATTAGTATATGAAGATGGCATGCAAAACTTTATATGGGAAGGTCCGTGCTATGCTATCTTGGAAGTGCTGGAATTCTTTTTGTATTTGCCTTTAGGACACTGTTGTTCTACTCTCAAAATTCCTATAGCCCTCCACCACAGCCTTGCTGTGTATGCGAAATTGCCCATTACTCTCCATAGACCTTGTTGTTACATCAGTACCTCTTGGTCCGTTATATACATAAATAAGATAAGACATATGAGAGCAATGGTGTCACACGTTTCCCCCAAATGACGATAGAGCCCACATTCTAAAATGTGAGGGTATTTTTAAATGGTGACAATAGAACAGTTCAGCCTAGTGTTTGTACCAACTACATTTTGTTCAAAATAATTTAAAATGCCATTTTTAAAAATATGTGCCTGCTGACACATTAAAGCTGCCCTTGTACTCTCTCAGTCGGCAATGAGATTGGGTAAATTAAGCCTGCAGAAGTACCTGTTCCTGCTTGTCTCCCTCACTAGGGAAAGTCAGGGCTACCATTGAGAGGGAAACAGCCTCCTCAAAGGAAGTCTCTTCAACACAATCCAGCCCAACTTTGATCAAAATTCCCTTGGCCACAGTTTCTTCCTCAGTATTCTGTGTCCAGACTCCCCTATCTTTTCAACAAATCAATTGTCAGAAGAATTATATCAGGACAGCTTCCCCAACCTTCTCAATTTTGGTGGTGAAATGAAAGAAGAAAAACGATATTTGGTGAAATTTTGCCTTTTCCTGAGCATATGTCTTCTTAGAGCTCTTCAGATCTCTTGTTTTGATTATTTTCTGCTTTCTTCTTGGCCTCTTCAGCAATACAATTTATTTTGTTTTTCAATCTACTTCTTTCCCTGCTCCCTGTAGCCTCAATGCTCCATAGCTGCCCTTTTAAAGTAATTTAAAGTATCTTCGGGAATGACTGAAATAGTGGGAAGGCACTATTTTCAAGGGCTTGCTGTCACTGTGTGTGCTGCGTCAAAAGCACACAAGATATACAATGCATCTTGTTAACCTCTTCATAATTGCCAGTCATTTGTACAGGTTCTTATCACAGACTTTTACATAGGACCTATTCTTAATAAACCAGATTACGGTTATTGCAGCTAGACATCCTGAAAAGTTTTTTCTCTCTTGTGATGAAGTGTTTTTGCCTTAAATTCCATGTCCCCAGTGCTCAGTATTAGGCAGGTTATAAATAAATGGCTTCATTACCTCATCACTAATTGGCGTTTTGCAATGTGAGTCAATTACTGCCACAGACAGCATTGATATGGATTATCTAAAGTGGTGTACAATATAGATTACAAGATCTTGAGAGCTCCCAAATGCCCTCACTAAAAGAAAGCGGGAGGAGGGTTGGAGAGAGATTCTATGGTGGTATAAATAACCAATTTCAAAAGTTTGTGAACGAGTATGTAGCTAAGGATTATTAGTGAACTTAATCTGAATCAGCAGCCATAATCTAAGCATTGCTATGCTACCAGTTGTGGCAATGGATGCTGAACTGCAGCAACATTACACCAGCTTTGTAGCCATCTTGCGACAAACAGATAGGGTTTAAGTGCCTTAAGTGTGGAATTGCAATTTTAATCCACATTTGTGATTGTAAGAACTGAGCCAAGTATGGTGTAACATTCAGACTGATTAGCAAGGAACAGCTTGTGATACTGATATCTCCCAGACTGTCTCCTTCAGATGCTAAGCTTTCAGAAACATGCATGGAGCTGTCAGTAAGGACCATGCAGAAACAGAAAATACTCATTTGTCACTGTTACCATGCATCGTTCTTTCCCATTAAAGTACATTTATATGTATTTCATTCCGTATTGAAAGGACAAACAAAAGTACTGCCAGTCCAGGGGAAGCATTGACTGTTCAACAAGCGAAATGTCCTTTGTTTATTTATGCCAAAATACACACAATACAACTTAACTACCTTTTCCCTCCTCATATTGACTGGCATAGTTCTGTTAAATCTTGACAGAAGGACATTGTTCACTGTAGAGATCCTAGTTTGCAAGTGTTTACCCCTTTAAGAAGGCATTTAATGTAAGCAATATGCATAAGTTCACAGTGATTTTACTGTAAATACTGGACATTACAGAAAAAATTACCTTGCTTAATCCATCAGTCATTTTTATGAGCATGGGTTCAGATTTGAGCGTCTTTAAGTGCTAACAGATTGTAACCAAATGCTTAAACTATGGATGACATTTGAGAACCTCTCCAAAACCTCTCAAGCCGTTATCAAGTTTTGGATATTACTTGATTGTTTTACAGAGATCAAAACCATATATGTATGTTGAAGAGTACAAATGTTCTACTATGCATCATCCTACCACTTTTTTCTAACAATATTTTGAAATTTACTCTTCCTTATACATAGTTTGGCAGGAAAAATTGTTTGAGACTTATGACTACAGCAAGTTATGCTGGAATAGATGAAAGTGATGGAAACATTAAATAATGGAATTGTGGTATTGTATTATTTCCACTAAGGGGTTTTCTTCATAGAAACCAGTAACTGCGAATTCATAGGCATTCTTTCTTTTGATATTATCAGCCTTAATGTGGGGAAAGCATCTCCAGTCCATCACCCTGAAGTTCTTCTCTTATCTCTAGTAACTGGCTGTGTTTTGAACTGTTTATTTTTCCCATTTCAGAGTTTTGGGGAGACACTGACTTTGCATTTAATAATTATCTGTGAATATTGCAAAACTCATTCAGTCTTTGGCTTTTTAAAATGACTCCATTATTTTTGGTAGCAACCTTAGTGTTTTTGACGAATTTTAAATATGAGCATAAAAATGATCTGTGACCTATTTTAAGCAACAATCAGTTCTGAAATGGCAAGCCTTGAGTTAGGTAAAAAGGACTCTGCCAATGTAATAATTATGATGTTTTGAAATGGCAAAGAGCTTTTTAATTTGCTATTTATGTAGTGTATTCAAATTCATAACTGCTTTCCCAATGTTTTTGGGTTTTTTGAAATTTTATTAACAGAAGCATTTTCCTCTTCTCCATCTCTTTTGTTCTGTTTAGTTAGACCTTGCCTTTTTATCAAAATAACAGGGTAATGCCACAAACCACTTTATGAGTGCAGCTGCTACATCCCTTTCTAAGGTTAATAGCCATCCTCATAAACTGGTTGTTGGGGAGGTAATTTATACTTTAATTTGCTAGAGACTGAAACCACAGGAAATGGGACCCAGGATTCAGAAAGAGGTGGGCCAAACCACAGGACCACATGCTGTTGAGGCATGATCAGGCAAAGCAAATGATCCTTTGCGAATTTATCTGTTGCTCCCTCAAGCCATTATCTGTTGACAACAGTGACATTTTTGGTCTTGCTTTGTTTTGGCTAATTACTGCTGATTACTATCCCATTTCCACTTGAAAACAGTGAACTTTTCTCCAACCTGTAGCCTCCAAATGGAAGAAAAAAATCTGAACTGGTCTCAACATATCCTTCTGGATTTTGCCACTTTCATCAAAGAGGGCCTAGCCAAGTTCTCCTCTAGCCCTGGAATCACAAAATATGGCACCAAAAACTTTTGAAGAATTCTGTTAAATGTTTAAAACCAAAACTAAAACTTTTCATGATAGCTGGAACTATCCATTCCACAGCAGCTTTCCGACATAATAGAGCAGGCACGGGCAAACTTTGTCCCTTCGGGTATTTTGGACTTCAACTCCCACAATTTCTGGCCTCAGGCCCCTTCTTTTTCCCCCTCAGCCAAAGGGCCAAAGTTTGCCCGTGCCTGTAATAGATATTTCAGCAAGCAATAGACCTCTATTGTTAAGAATAGTACTCCCTAAATAGAAATTACTGAGTTTAGAAAATGCACTAACTTCACGAGGCAAGCACTCCCTTGAAGCAAGATGTGTGCACTGTACATAGCAAGTGAATGCACATTTGGATCCATCAAAATCTCTGTAAATTTTGCCAGCTTTGGGTTGTATCCCTTCATTGTCAGGCTCCCTCCCCACCCAAACAATAATGTAGAAAGGCCCTCAGTGCCCTTAAGAAAAACCATTTAACCCAAATCTTGACCAGCAGAACCTGGATACCTCTTTACTGAACCAGAACATAGTTTAATCAGAGCATATAAAATGAAATGTGTTACTCTCCACAGTTTTGAGTTGTAATACTGTCTCTGGACTGGACTGTCAAGACATGTTTCCTTTGTGCACACCATTAAGACTGCCTCCTTTTATGAGTGGATTTTGAAGACAAGATAATATATCGCATTCATCATAAACCTGTAGTCGTCGACCTCTGTGAAGCTATTTACATCTCTTGAACCTTGCTGTTAACACAGTGGGCAGTAAGAAAAGCCTTCTGCCATGTATTTGGTTAGTTTTGAGCATCCAAACCAAGGTGGACTGAAAGAAGCTCTTCTGTATTTTCCATTTGTCAACCTCACATGTTAGTACCTGTTTGCAACTACTATGCTGCTAAGAATCTGAGGATTATAGAATAACAATCTGACTGCTAATAAAGATATATATTGATACTTTATTTTCTCAGCCTTGGCACGGAAGCTTTGTTTTCAAGTGTGTTCCTTGAATTCAGTTTTCATTTTCAGGTAGCCCATGATGGCCTCAAGAGAATCATTTGGGGTGTATCAGCTGTGTCGTATATGAGAAACCTAAATAATAGCTCATTTCTCTTCAAACTCAGGAAGAATTGAATCTCTACCCATCCTGCTCTCTAACTGTTCATACTCTAATGAATCCAAGATCTATTTAATTTCCCATCTTACGTGTTATGTGTTGCTGTACCATTTGAAGAAGGAAAGCAAAATCTTACAATGGCCAAACTAATGAGCCATGCAATTCTAACCCATCACCATATCAAGTCAGTCACTTTTGCATATGGATATGGTGAAGAAATGCTCAGTGTACCCTAGAAACAATTTCCCATAATAGAAAGCTTAATTGGTTTACATGAATGTTCTTTTTACAAGACTATGATTAAGTTCAATATTTATTATTTAGTCCTGACACCTGTATTTTTCCTTCATTACTGTAAAATAGTTTTGGCTAAAGTGGCCTTTGGTCTGATCCAACACATTGAATTTCATGTTCTTAGATTAGTCCCCCATATACTTGCTATGAACCCTAATGGTTCCTGTTATTTTGATGCAGAGTGTTCAAGGAATAGAATGGCAGTTTAGATCAAGTTCAGAGATCAAATTTGGGTTTTACCACTTTTTATGTAACATTAAGTAGAATCACATCATAATCACATCAAGAGAGAGCTCTCATTCATTCATCTCAATCATACTTATAAACAGGCCTCTCCGAAAGAAGATGATCAGTCTTTTTTGAGAGGGTTGGATGCTCTGTTGCCGCAGTTCTGGAAACATGCTGAATCTTGGAGGCCCCCTACATTTTAGAGCCTAATGTCAGTCTTTCTTTGGATGAACATGCTGTTCCGTTCTCGTAGTTTCAAAACATTCACATTCCAGGCCATATGATTTCTGGGGTACCACCTGCACACCTTATGCGCCTTACTGCACACCTTATTGTCCATTGGTATTCAGCTATATACACCTTACTGCTTCCTTGCTTCATCTGCCAGGTCCAACCCATATCATGCTTTACGCGAACTCCATTTTTACTCCTCAGGCCTGTTGTCTTTTGGTCTTCTTCATGCATTCACACATTCATTCTTTACATACTGTATACAAAAGAGACCTCGCAACCTTGTGACTATTTTAGGAATTGTGCAAAAACTTAAAATCACAGCTCCCATTATGTTTTATTGAAGATTTGGCATAGGTACATGAATGCTTTGAATGTCTTATAGCCTCCCACCTACATGATTTTGGGAAATTACATAGAAAACAAGGCTTTCTTTTATTTCTTTTTTAAAGTGAAAGGCTTTCATGGTGTGGCTGCATTTTTAGTAAAAATAGGAGTGAAAGAAAGGACTGTAATGTTTCCCTGCTGGTTGCTTGCTTATAATTTCTCCAATTAATTTCCCAGAGGGCAATGTTCCAGAAGCATATTTACAATGCAATTGTGAGGTCTCTCAAATAACAATAAAAACCAAAAACAGATATTGTTTGAGAGTCCTCTTGCTTCTAATTGGAAGGTTGTGATTTAATGCCTGACATCGGAGCTTCGTGGTTGTGCCGAGGTTAAAACTTTTGACTGGCAGCATACATTAGGTAATGGAAGGGAATCGACTTTCCTTCTCCAGATACCTAAAATTGTGTGTGGAAAATTGCCTTGATGTTAAGACAATTGGGTAAAATTTCCAATAAAGCAAAACTGCAATGGGACTTCCAGGCAGCACTTTGGGCAGAGAATATGATTACAAATGGCTTTATTCAATGTGATCTTTAAAGCATCCAGAAGCCAATGCTGCTTAGCTCAAATTGGAAACAGCCTTTTTGAAGCATTCATTTCAGACAGCAATTGCAGAGCATCTATTGCTGTTCTGCAAATGATATGTAAACAGTTTATGCTGATAAGTGGTGACTCTGATAGCATATTCATTACACAGTTCTGCTATACAAAAAGTCTTTTTCAATATTGAAGTAACTTTAATGTGTTGGATGCTAAATTTGAAAAAACAGAATACACACATTGGATATTTTTATCAATTCAGTTGTTATTCAGTGTTGACATTGGTGTTTGATACAACCTCTTTTAGTGTTTTTGAAATTTTTGTGTGTTTCATATCAGCAATTTAGCGTGTTTTGAAAGTCTATTGGAAGACTTTAACCATTTTCTTATTGTATTTATTTATTATTTACCATATTTATATCCCACCTTTCTCACCCCAGAGGGGACTCAAGTCAGCCTTATAACAGGCAGCAATTTGATGCCATACACATACATATTAAATAAACAATTGCAATTAAAACCAAACAATTAAAACATGAATTATTAAAACATCAATTAAAATCACGCCATCCAAAACATAACCCAGGGCCATTCCATTTGTCAATCACATTGATTTGTGGTCACTTATTGCTACTACTCCAATTACTTGTCAAAAGCTTGATCCCAAAGCCACATCTTAATTTTTTTCCCCCCTCAAGGCCAGGAGAGAAGGGGCTGATCTTATCTCACTGGAGAAGGAGTTCCATATCTGAGGGGCCACCATTGAGAAGTCCCTGTCTCTCATCCCCACCAACCGTGCCTGTAAAGGAGGTGGGACCGAGAGCAGGGCCTCCCCAAACGATCTTAATCTCCGAGATGGTTCATAGTCCCATGTTTAAGAAAGTGGACATTGAAAAGACATATGCTGAAATGCTAGAGGAAAAATATACTAACATGGAGCTAGGGTAAATGGGTCATCACTGATCATCCAGTGGTCATCCTATCTATATGGGAACTGTGCAGCCAAAGGGTCACATGAGATGCCCTATTTCTGTTCTATACGTATTTGGATTCAGAATAGTTCTCTACAGTCACTTATGGACCCACCTCCAGGACTCTGCTCTTGGAAGACAATCATACTTGGTCACAAAGGATCTCCTATGGCCTGTAAGTACAGTAAATTACTGTACTCGGGAACCCACCCACCCCACCCCCAAGGATCTGTTTTTATCCAAGTGGTTGTATGCGATTAGAGCATGCTTCAAAACTAATGCAGGCTACAGTCTCATTGAAGCAATGGGTATACAATACCAGTATTTGCTGTAGGCATTCCTGGCAAGCTTTGTAGAAAACAGTCTGTGCTCAATTTCATGTGATATGCTGCCCTCTGCAGGACGATTTTGATGCCAAAGACACAATGTATGGACAAGCAGAGTTTAATAGAAACTGCTAGTCACTGCTGTAAACTGGAAATACCATACATTTACTTCCATCCAAGTCCTTTGTATGTTTAAACTGAAGACAATAATCCTGATTAAGGAACTGGGTTTCACCCTGAAAGGTGATTTCTAATACTACTGTCCCACCTGATACCCAGTAGTAATGAGGAGATGGGGTCCTACATATAGTTGGAATACTGACTTATTAAAGTGATGGGGTCAGACCTGCTTGCTAGAATTATTTTCATGGTGAAGGTGTTTATATAAAACTATTTCAAATGCAGTGCAAATATTGACTTGGGCTTACGTTTAATGTGGGGAACGATTCACTCTCCAGATGCTTTGGACTATCACTCCTCCAGCCCCTTTCCTTGGCCATGCAGGGTAGGATTGATGAAGGCCATCTGAGGTGGCAAAGCTCTCATCCGTACCCGTGGTTTCCGTAATGTAGTTGCTACTGTTGTGGCTCTCAGAAATATTGTGGAGGGGAATTTATAATCATAGAGAGCAAGAGAAAGCACAAAGGCTCGTCCCAAAGGCTGAGAAAGCCCGTGTGCTGGAAATGCAATGGAACACTTGGTGTGGAAATGAATTGTGGCAAACATAGTCCAATTTGAAAAATGCACTGGGAACTGTTCAATATGACAATTTTCTTAATCCTTGATTTATAGAGCAGAACAGATTGAATATGACCAAGGGAAAAATCCATGGTTATGGAGAACAGAGGAGTGGGTGTTGAAACAGAATGTGAAACAGGCAAAGAGCTTTTAAAAACCCCGAAAGCTTTTTTTTTTAAAGAAAGGGATTTTAAAAGGCTGCGGTATTGTTTTAAATTGTGTGGTAAGATATACACTCTCTTTTATCCTTTAATATCATTAACAGTTAAATTTCATGTTGGCCTTTTGTATACTGTCATTCTAATTTGTGAGCTGCCTGGAATCGCACATTTGAGGAAAAGGCAGGGTGCAGAGGAAGATGCTGCTGCTGGCAACAATGGCAATGATGATAATGATAAATGTCTCTTGCTCGGTGTTAGAAGTAGCCACATGGGCACTAGTACCTGTCCTGATAAGGAGATCATCAGATGCTTTGTGTTCTGTTTGCATCTCAGCTGCAAGAGGAACGAAATGTCTGCCTTTGCAGTGCACCTATAAAAGGGGTCCCTGAGCACTTTAGAGACTATATATAGAAAATCACTCCACTACCTCTGCATTGCAGTCAGGCCAGAAGGGGAATGCTGCTGTCTAGCCAAACACTTGGAGAAAGCAGAGAATATTGCAAAGAAATACGCCTTATCTTGCAGTGCTTTGTGGTTTTAGAGATGGTGACCTTACACATTAGCCAGGATTTGTTATCTTCAGCATCAGTTAAGGTTGGGGGAATGACCACCTTTGCTGTATGCCCAACTGTGTTGTCAAATACATCCTTAGCAGTGTTATACAAGCATAGCTTCCTTTCCGCCCTCCATGTCAGGAGCGACTTGAGAAAATGCAAGTCACTTCTGTTGTGAAAGAAATGGCCGTCTGCAAGGAGCTTGCCCAGATGTTTCAATGTTTTATCATCCTTGTGGGAAGCTTCTCTCATGTCCCCGTATATGGAGCTGGAGCTAACAGAGGGAGCTCATCTGCGCTCTCCCTGGATTTGAACCTCCGACCTGTCAGTCTTCAGTCCTGCTGGCACAAGGGTTGAACCCACTGTGCCAAGGGGGGCTCCACAAGCATAGCTGAGAGCACAGTAGTCGGCC